AAAAAATATTTTCGGGTTTCAAGGCTAAAAAGTTTGACCCCGCTGATCTCGATCCTCAATCAACTATTTATATACTCAAATAAAATTTATATTCTTTGCTTATTTACATAGATATAGAACAATTTAATACTAGGATTTTATTCAATCCGCAGGGTTTTATCTAAATAACATAATGGAATATTATTTTTTAAATTTAATATTTGAAATTTTCCATATAAAGAGATAATTAACAAGAATAGTTTATTAACGAATATTTTTATTTTATTATTTGAGAATATAAATATATTAAAATAGATCAAATTTCAATAAATAAATTGTTGTCAAATAAAAATATCTCGATTGAAAGTTTAAAATAAGATTTTCTTGGTATTTCTCATGTAGAAAACAACGATATTTATTTTATTTTAAATCTATAGAATTTATTTGAAATATTTGTGCAATAATAAAATAAGAAATGAAACATCTTATTTGACTATATATATATAAGTTATTATTATTTCGATAATATTAAATGATCGTCAATTAATTAATAAAATGAAAAGATTTTCCTTAATTCTATTCAAATATAATATTAAATTAAATTAAATTATAATAAAACAAATATTTAAACTGATTATCATATTTATCTATTAAATGAGACAAATTTAATAAGAAATAACTAAAAACATAAATAAATATTCTGAAAATTGATTTTTATCAATTTTTCAATTAAATATTTATAAACTAAAGAAAATTTAAAAATAAATTCTTTGTTTTGTTCAATTATAAAATGAAAAATAAAAAATTTTTTTTTTTTTTCTTTTTTTTTTTATTTTGATCATTGCTGGATTTTTAAAAAAGCTTATTTTGTTTTTCTATATCTTATTATGATGTTACAAGTAGAAAAAAAACAAAATCGCTAGATATAGTTGCTGCTACTACAGTTGGATAGATTCTCGTCAACAAAAAAAAAGAAAAAGAAAACGAGAAAAATTCATATAAAATTGTACTAGATCAATCAAACAAAGGATTTGAGGATTTTCATTATGCTCAACAAAAATATAATAAGGATATGATTGGACAATAAAATTAGTTGTTAAGTCATTTATTTAATTAATATTATATTTTAACCACCACTGGTATCAACTTTAATACCGGTATAAACTTGTACAAGTTTATCAAAACCAGCTAATACACCAGCACCAGCAATACCCCTTAGAATATTTGCACCAGCTCCTTTAAACAAAGCCATAAGACCTTCCTGTCGTAATATTTGAAACATACAATCTAATGAACCTTTATATTTAACAGCTTGACCAGATGTCATCATCATACGTCTTCTAATAGTATCAACTGGATATGATATTAAACCAGATGTTACTGTAACACCATAACCAAGTAAAAATGATAACATTATACCAGCATCTGGACCAAGTAATAATGGTTTTAATGTATCATAAAAACCGAAGTAACAACCTCGGTAAACAATAATTCCAACACATGATATAACAAAACCACGATAAAGTCCAACAAAACCATCAGTTGCCAAAGTTTTTTTATAAACATCAACAAGACCATTATATTTTCGTTCTCCTCCACCTTTCTTTGTACTTTTAAGATCATTAGCCAAACGTGTACGAGCATAATCAAGTGAATAAACAAAACATAATGATAATGCACCAGCTACACCACCACTTGCGACATTTTTACCGAAATTGACCATATATGGATCATTTTTACTTTGTTTAAACATTAATTTTATTTTATCTTTGAATGCAAAATTCAATGCCTATTTAAATAAATAATATATTTATTAGTGTTAGTTTGGTTTTTTTTTTTGTTAAGATATATAACAAACTTGTGTTGGAAAATATCGAATACAATTAGCTAAATTGCCTCGCCAAAATGGAATAAGTCCTTCACTTCTGAATGTTCGAACAGTACAATCAATAACACCGTTGTATGGTCGAGATAGAGTACCTTGTTTTATCATTTCACCTTGATTTTGTACGAGTAATTTAACACGTTCAATTGGTGCAGCCGCTGTTTTAGATACAACAGCAGCAAAACCACTCAATGCAAAATTTTCAACAAAACTCAATTTAGGTTTCTCTTTCTAAACAAATAAATTAAATATATATATATATATATTTTTTTTTTTACTAAATTTATTTATTTACCACTGCCATTGCGCTTTATTTATACGACCTAATTAATTAAATAAAGAAAATCAAACTTCGAATTAATTCTTTATTATTTTACTTGATATTATTATTATTATTATTGTTGTTGTTCTTGTTCTTGTTGTTGACGATTCCGATTGTCGTAAAGCGCAAAAAAATATCGAGTCACGCAAAAGCACACAATTTCAATA